GTGGTGGCCCTCGCAGCCCCTCGCCCTTGCGGCCACTACTGAGCTTCTCTTCTCTGCCTTTTTTGGAGAAAACGCCGTCGCGGGCGTCGTCCAGAGGCTCTCCTCCGGGAGGCAGGGGAAAGAGCGGGACCCTCCTGGACTGGAGGAGTCTCGGGTGATGAAAGGCCCGTGTGTTTCAGGCTCACGTCGTGAGATGCTTCGTCCCCGCGTCGCGACATCCTTGGGGCCGGGAAACCTCGTTCAATTGGCAGCCTTTTCTCCTTCCAGGGAACAGATGACCGTAGGTTGGCTGACATCAGTCACTAGGCCCGCAGGCTACAGGCCCCCTTAGTACCTGAACTGGCTTTCATGACCCAAAGTGTTTATCAGTACTGCTGGGAAAGCTGCCCGTCCTGGACATTTGCCATCTGCTGCACCCAGTCCCGAGACCCCAACTCGGTCATCTGAAGAAGCCACATCTGTAAGCTCAGGCACCTTCAGTGCCTGAGGCCACAAGGCATCCCGGGCAGGCCTCCTTTCAACCCTGGGAACGTTTAGAATTTAATACAGACACCTCTACTTAAATAGGGCAGCATATTCCCCGCCTTCCTCCTGAAACCCTCTGAAATTATAGGAAAGGGGTTTTATAAAGACAAACCCTGCAAGGGCAAAGAGCTGGGATATTGTAGAGCTGGAGGAAGATGGACAGTGAGAGCTACTCCAGCCCACGCGGCCATAGAGGCCGGTGTCTGAGTGTCGTAGGTGAAAGCACAGCTACAGAAAGGAAACCCCAGACCTCTGTCCATACCCACCGGGGCTGGCAGGCAGTGCAGTGGCTGAGACGTGAACTCTGGGAGAGGAGCTCTGAGGCCCTGCTCAAGCAGGGCTCTGTCTGAAAGCCTGGGAATAAGTGAGACTCTGGGTCCTTGCCTTACCTCCACCCCCTGGGCTGGGTCTGACCACCGACATGCCATCAGCCTCCTCAGAGAGGAGGGCTCCTTTCTGCTGCAGCTCCCAGCTCAAAAGAAAAGACTGGCAGGGCAGCTAGGGGCAGAGGGTTGCCCAGTAGAATGGCCCAGCCAGATCCCTGGCCTCGAAGCTCACCAGGCCATAAGCCCCAGCCACTAAAAGCATCTCATTCTTAAAAGCAACTGGACAGCCCAGGATCACCAGACACCTGAGAAAGAAGCAAAGGGACTCAGAAGAAACAGAGACAATAAAGGAAGCCAAAGAAAAATGAAAACTAAAATGCCATTCTCAGAGATACTAGAGGTATTACAGGCAATAAAAAGGAACTGGGGGCTATAGAGAAAGAACACTCAGGATGAGAACGAGCTCTTAGAAATAAAACATGAAGGGAAAGAGCAATTCAATAGGCTTTTTAAGATGAAGTCTTCCAGAATGTATAATGACAGAACCAGATCGCTGGAAAACAGAATAGCAGTAACACAGGTGGGTGCCCTTAGGGCCAGTCTGGCACACAAGGCCTCCACAATGGAGGGGGTGGATGGGTGGTGGGGGTCTGGTCCACCACCACCACCAGGGGAAGCCACAGGCACCACCCTCTGGGAACAGCTTCCCTTGACAATAACGTGCACGCAGGGTGCATGGTGCCCAGCACTGTTCTTACACACATTCACTCATGGGATCCTCACAACCCAGTGCTATGCAATGGGTACAGCTGTTATCCCCATTTTTACTGATGGGCAACATCACAAGGCAGGGAGCAGTAGAATGGCTCCAGAGCCTGTGTTGTTTCCACCACCATGACTGCATCTCAAAAGAGAAGTCCAGGTCAGGCACAGTGGCTCATACCTGCCTTTCCAGCACTTCAGGAGGCTGAGGCAGGAGGATCACTTGGACCCAGGGGTTCAAGACCAGCTTGGGCAATATAGTGAGGCCACATCTCTACAAAAAATAATTTTAAAAAACCAGCTGGGCATGGTGGCACAGGCCTGTAGTCCTAGCTAGTAGGGAGGCTAAGGTGGGAGCATTGCTGGAGCCCAGAAGGTGGAGGTTGCAGTGCCCCGTGATCATACCACTGCCCTCCACCCTGGGTGACGGAGCCAAATCCTGTCTCAAAAAACAAAAACAAAAAATAAAAACCCGAAAAACAGAAACCCAACATCTAAATAAATTGTCCAGAAAATAAGGAAATGAGAGAAATCAACAAAGAGATAAATCACGAAAATTTCCTAGAACCAAACAGTCATGTTTCCTGAACAATGGGTGAAAGGCAAGTTGTATATCAAGACACATCATTGAAAATTGCCAAAGTAATGGGGCAAAGAATAAAACAGAAGAGATCATAGGTAAAGAGTCAGAATTCAGAAAGGCACAAGAGTTCTCAGAACTAGAAGAAAATGACACGACACCCTCAAAATCCTGGGAATAAATGATTTTCAACCAAGCCAAGCTTTTTGTAACTAGTCACACCGTCAAGCATATGTGAGGTTAGCATAAAGACAAACAGGTGGCCAGGCGCGGTGGCTCAAGCCTGTAATCCCAGCACTTTGGGAGGCCGAGACAGGCGGATCACGAGGTCAGGAGATCGAGACCATCCTGGCTAACATGGTGAAACCCCGTCTCTACTAAAAAATACAAAAAACTAGCCGGGCGCGGTGGCGGGCGCCTGTAGTCCCAACTACTCGGGAGGCTGAGGCAGGAGAATGGGGTGAACCCGGGAGGCGGAGCTTGCAGTGAGCTGAGATCCGGCCACTGCACTCCAGCCTGGGCGGCAGAGCGAGACTCCGTCTCAAAAAAAAAAAAAAAAAAAAAGACAAACAGGTAAAGACTCCGCAACCTCCTATGCACCCTCTCAGGAAACTTGGAGGATGGTCCTTCTCAAACAGAGCAAATGAAGGAAAAAGAAAGCATTCCAGGACACTGGTGAAGAGTTAACCCATGCTGACAACTGGACCATAAGTCCAAGAACAAGTAGCCTGGGCAGGGGGCTTGCATAGTGGGGGCTCCAGGAAAAGAAGAAACTGAGCAGTCAGTTATGTGATGAGTCCTAAGCTGTGAGAGGATGCTCATGCTTTTGCAGGAAAGTCTAAAGATGAATCGATGACAAACACATACAGAAAACCAGGCAAACAAAAAATAGGCAATTATTAACTCCAGGGAAAACAAAAAGTTGTGCAAGAAATGCCATCCTAGAACACCCTGTTCTCCTGTGACGTGTGGTAATGAAGCTGTGATAACACCCTGCAGCTGTGATGCCCGTCACACTAGAACGATGCCGCATCAGGAGACCGAGGCGGGTGACCACCCTCCTCCCAGAGGATGCTGGCTGGGGACACCTAATGTGAAACAACTAATAAACAGGACTGAAAGCTCATGATTTTGAAAAACATGGATTTCAAATGCCTGAAGAAACAGTTAAGAGAGTTGAATTTGGAGAGGATGAGAGTAGGAGCCTGCCTTTATTATTTATCATTGGCCTCAAAAAAAAAAAAAAAAAACCCATTCTACTTTAAAAACAATACACATAAAATTCTGAAAAGATAAAAGGAAGAATTCAACAGAGACATGATTAAGTGCAGCAATGGTAGTATTGATGCTTTTAAGTTCAGTTTAATCAGTAGTACAATGTTATGTGTTTGCCACTGAAACCATTTAGGACCGTGCGTAATCAGACAGTTTCACATGAGGGTTTCCATCTAGGATATGGAGATTATTTTAGATTACTAATCTTGAGTTGGAAGGTGTGAGAATTAGAATAATTTTGTAAATAGTATTGGAATATTTAAGATAACTGAGATTCACTATTTTGTACATTTAATTTATTTGATATGCGTTAGTAAGTCTTGCTTTGGTTTTTGGCTTTTGCTTGGGGTGCTGTGGTCAGCAGAATGCCACCCTTCCCCAACAAAAGAGTTTCCTTCCTTAATCCCTGGAACCAGTGAATGTTAGTTTACATGGCAAAATGTGTCCTGCAGATGTGTTTAATATTAAAAACCTTGAGGAGGGAGATTATCCTGTATTATCTGGCTGGGCCCAACCTAATCTCATGAGTCCTTAGGGACAACCTTTCCTGTCTGCAGAGAACCAGAGAAATGTTTCGTGATACAGACTGAAACTGCTAGCTTTGAAGATGGAGGAGGAGGCCAAGAGCCAAGGAATGTAGGCAGCCTCTACAAGCTGGAAGTGGCCTTAGTTTACAGCCAGCAAGAAAGTGGGGACCTTGGCCCTGCCACTGACAGGATGTGGATTCTGCCAGCAGCCTGACGAAGCAGGAGACAGAGTCTCCCCTAGAACCTCCAGGAAGGAAGGCAGCCTGCCAGCCTTGATTCTAGTCCAGTGAGACCTGTAGTCAGACTTCCAGCCTACAGAATTGCAATACATTTGTGTTGTTCTAAGCCACTAAGTTTGTGGTAAATTTTACAGCAGCAGTATAGAACTAATACAGTGGTGTGCCTTCCTGGTTTGACATTTGAAATGCTTTTAAAAAGGCATGACTGTGCTAAATTTATACATACAATTTAAAATGTTTAAGGCCGTTTCACTAAGTTTGGAATTGGAGGAGAGGCAAGCCAAGAATCAAGAGGCCAGGAAGGCAGGGGTAGAATCCATGGGGGCATAGAAACCTCTAAGACTGAGCCAGGAGTGCAGTGGGAGAGAGGCAGGGAGCCAGGAGCTGACATCCTCAGAGGCCCAGGGAGCAGCTGCCCCAGGGAGGAGGTGCGGGAGGTAACATGGAGAGGGTGTGAATCTGAGGAGCAGAGAGGATGTGGGGGCCCTGACCCCTCCAGGCCAGGGAATGCAGGAGAGAAAAAGCCCGTTGGAGGGGCTGCAGTGGCCAGAGGAGATCTGTAGAGGGGCTGTAGGTTCTGGTCTCGGGGTGGGTAAAGGGTCAAAGAGGTGGCTCCAGGGCAGAGCTGCGTGGGACCAGGGGCTTTGCTGATGACAGCCTCAACTCCAGACCTCTCTGTGGTCTGTTTCTCCTGCCAGGTCCCTGTTGTGCCCAGTGCCATGCCTGACACCTGCAGGTGTGTCACTGCTGGCTTGCTGTGCAGGCTCCTTGTGTGGGTCTATGGTGCCAGCCGGGGATGGCTGCTCTCCCAGACCCCATGGAGCAGTTCCCTGGGCAGAGGTCTGTCCAGGGCTGACCCTCACCCCCAAGCCCCAGAGCTGGGGCTCCCTGCAGGGCTGCTGAGCAGGCAGTGGCCCTGGCCAGGCAGCCTGGGTAGGAACTCAGGGTGGAGAATGGAGGATATGGGAAGGGGTCCTGGGGGCAACCCTGAACCTAAGGACCTGGGAGGCCTAACGGCTCCCCCACACCCACCCCCCACCCCCGCGGCGCCCGAGGCAGGGTCAGCCCCACTCTCAGGAGGCGGGGGTTTCTTCACTACCAGGGCCTTTGTGCTCCCAGGCACACGGAGGAGAGCAGCCCCGCGGTGCTGGGGTCTCCCCCACATGGCCTGCCTGGGCAGCACCCCGGCATGGTCCCCAGGGGCTGGGGTACTGGGTCAGGCCTGGGCCCCACGGTACTTCAGGAAGGTGCTCTCCAGGAAGGCGGCCAGCTTCATCCGGTCGTCCTGCGGAAGGAGGGAGGCATGGGGGACGGAGGGGCACAGCCTGCCCCGCTTGCCCCCTCCGCCAGGCCACGCTGCACCGCCCAGCGCACCTCGTGGAGGAAGCCGTAGTGCACAAGCTCCGAGGCGAGGTCCTGAGGGCTGTCCGCTGCGGCAACGGTGTAAGGCGAGGCATGAGGCCGCTGCGCCACCCGCTGCCCGGGGTCACCGCCCACCGCCCAGGTCCCTTGCCCAGCCTACTTGGGAGCAGGTCGTAGGTCAGCTGCCGGTGCAGCCGGTCCTCCAGCACCAGAAGCAAAGTGAGCTGGGGAGGCGGCGGGGCGTGGTCGGCTGGAGGTTTGGGGGTCTGCCACGCTCCCGCCTTCCCCACAGCAGCGCTGCCCTCCCAGGCCCCGCTCACATGCCAGCGCGCCTTGTCCTCGCTTCTCTCCAGGTTGCACTGCATCTGGATGACCTGCAGCGGCAGAAGGCTGAGACTCACAGACCCAGCAGCGAGACCACATGCCGCGGCCCCAGAGGGGCCAGGAAGGGACAGCAGAGATTGGAAAGGGGGGAATCTCTAAGAGGAGCCCATCTCACTGCTAGTGGCCTAGTGAGCTAAGGAAAGCTTCGAGAAGAGGCGACATTAGGTGCTGGGTACTGAAGGCTGAATAGGAGCTTTCACTGCTGAGAGAACAACTTAAACAAAGAGGGAACTTGAGCACGGGGAAAGGGAGGTTGAGTGGGATGCGACTGCACTGAAGTGCAGGGTGCCTGCAGGACCAGGCCTCCCAGCGCCTGGGCATCAGCTGAGGACTCCCATGATCTCTGCAGGCAGCCAGGAGCAGGCAGTTTGCCTGTTAGGACATAAATTCTGGCTGCACTGCACCAAGAGAGGCCACTGGCCAGGAGGCAGCGCTGCAGGAAAAGTCTGGGGAGACACCAGGACATAGATATCCGGGAATCAGCACAAGGTGGGGGATGGGAGGGTGGGGGGAAGAGTACTGGCAGGGTGGAAGAGCCTGGGCGAGTTCTGGAGGAAGGATGCTTGGAGTAGGTTCAGGGCAGGCAGCAGGATGCAGGGGAGGATCTGAGGGGACAGGGAGCCTCCCGGAAAAGGAGAGTGTCCAGCCTGTCCTACAACCCCCATAATCCCCACAAGGGGGTCAGCCTGGATCTGGTCTCTGGCAGCCAGGAGGAGAGCTGGGCTGTGGGGACGCAGGCCCTGGGAGAAGGAATCTCTTATCAGGCTGCTGGAAGGTCTGAGGGATGGCACTGAGCAGCAAGAGGGGACTCACCTTTCTGGTCTCAGAGTCAAAGGGCTCTGGCGTCGGGGTCTTGGCCTTTTGGACCTCCTCCGGGGGTGGGGCTAGCACCCGGGGCAGCCCCAGGGGCCGAGTGGCTGCAAAGTTCATCAGTGGGTAGATCCCATTCCTGGAGACACACCGGGGTGGCTGGGGGCTCAGGCCTGACAGCTGCCTGGCCCCCAACCTTACATCAGTTCTTACCTGACATCCTCCAGGAATTTGTCCAGCTCCATGAAGGAGACTTCCGAGTACCTGGCATGGAGGTGGGAGGCACATGAGGGGCTGGTCAGGGGCGCAGGGAGGGGAGGCACGGGGAGGGGAGGTTTCTGGGTGCTGACTGCTCACCGCCACTGCAGCGGGGGCCTGCGGGGCCGGGGAAGCTCCGCCAAGACTGCGTGCAGGTCCACGGCCTTGGTCTTCTCCTCCACTACGTTCTCAGGCATGAGGTCTGCAGCCACAGGAGCATCAAGGCCGTGGGTCCTGCAGGGCCCCTTCCACATCCCAACCGCAGCCTCCCCGGTCACCCCCTGGGCTGGCCTGCTGCTCACACTGGTGCTGGATAAAGCAGTGGGCTGCTAGGAGCTTCAGCGAGTGCACCTCGAAGAGCACGCGGTGGAAGAGGAGGCTGTGGGCAGAGGGCCGGCGGGCAGGGTCCCGGGCCAGGCAGCAAAGGATGAACTCCTGGGGCATGGGGAGGAGAGGCTGGTGGTGTGCAGAGCTCTCTGCTCTGGCCCCACAGTTCGAGGAGAGGTGGTCCCTGAGTTCTCCTCGTCCCTCCTCCTCAGGGACATACAGGACATGCAGGGATGCCCGTAGGGAGGAGTCCTGGCAGCAGCCAGGCCAGGACCTGGCCCTCTGGGCTTGAGGACAGCTGGGTTCTGGGATTGGAGCACCATGCTCTGCTTCCCTCAACCTCCCAAAAATCATGGGGAGTAGGAGCCATGATCTTTAAGTCACACCTGCAAGCTGTGGTCTTTTTTTTTTTTTTTTTTTTTGAGACGGAATCTCACTCTGTCGCCCAGGCTGGAGTGCAGTGGCACGATCTCGGCTCACTGCAAGCTCTGCCTCTCGCTACCCATGGTCATTTGATCAGCTCAGCTCAGGCCCAGCACTGGAGATGACCTTGCTGGTTCCCCACTCTGTCCACATCCGTGCCCAGCCTGGCTCCAGCTCCCTACCAGCCCCATCCAGGCACCCCCATCTCCTGAGGCCATGGAGTTAAGTCTGGACTCCAAGCAGAGGGGGCTATGGATGCAGCTTCCATCCCATACCTCTTTTTGCCTGCTTGGCACCCACCATGTCCCCCCACAAGCTGGAGCCTCATCACCTCCTAGAAGCTTAAAGTCAAGGACTTGGAGTGAAGCAGACCCAGGTGCAGATGTTGGCTCCACCACTTACTCTAAAGCCTCAGGCAAAGGACTCATCTCCTCTGAGCCTCGGTTTCTTTATCTATGAAACGGGCATGGTGATAGCAGCCACAGAGGGAGGGTCTCTCTTGCCTTCTTGTCCTTAGAATGTGCTGACCCATTAGGGCCTTCAGGCCTGGAACCAGTATGTGCTCCCACTGAGGTCCTCTTTGCGGGGGTGCAGCCAGCTGGTATACCCCTCTGCTACATAAACTGTGATGCTCTCCCAGGCCTGCCTGGAGCACCTTGCTGGCCTAGCTGAGCACAGTGAGCCAGCTGGGGAGGGGCAGGGCAAGCTGCTTACCCGCATGTTGGGGTCACTCAGTGAGTGCCTGGCACGAGCAATGGCCTCCTCTGTGACCCGGGTGTCCCCGTTGGCCTGGATCTCCAGCACAGCCATCTGGGGCACAGAGCCAGGTCAGGCATGGGGAAGGGACCACACAGGTGAGCCAGGCAGGGCACAGCTAGGAGGAGGGCAGAGCACAAGGTGGAGGGCGGGGGCAGTACCTCCAGCGCACACATTCCAAAGGAGAAGATGTCCACAGCGGTCCCATCGGCCACCTCTGAACAGGAGAGAACACAGGACGGGTAGGAGAGAAGCACACAGGGCAGGCACGGGGCGCCCAGACCCAGCGCCACTCACCGCCGTACTCTGGGGGGAAGAAGTGCAGGTTCCGAAGTTCCTCTCGCTCAGCGCGGATGGGGCTTCGGAGATCATGCGGCAGCGCTGTGGAGGGCGCAAAGGCTGAGCGGGCGGGACCTCTCCAGGACCCCATCCCCCAGAGTCCGCACTTACCATTGGAGAAGATTCGGTGCCACACTGCCAAGGGGCGGGAGAAAGAGCGGAGTTAGCTGCTGGAGCATCAGAACTCCTCTGCCCTTGGCTGCAGGCACCTTCCCCTGCCCCGTCCCCGGCCCAGCCCTGTCCCGCCAGCACCAGAGCCGATCTTGATGAGGCCGTTGTGCTGAATGAAGATGGTGTCGCTGGTCAGGTTCCCGTGAATGATCGGGGGGCTGCAGGCGTGCAGGAAGCTGCAGACGTTGGGGAGGGGAGAGTAGGAGGAGCCGGTCAGGAGGCTCTGGAGAGGCGGGGGCTCAGCAGCGCAGCGCCCGGGCCAGCCCAGGCCCTCACCTGAGCGCGGACAGGATCTGCGTGCACCAGCGCTTCCAGGCCTGGCGGCGGACGCACGACTCCGTCGGGTGGGCGCAGGAGAGGCGGCTGGGCCTGCGGAGCCCGCCCCGCATCCTCGCCCAGTCCCTGTCCGAGGCCACTGGGCACCCCCTCACCATCCCAGTCCCCGAGGCTGCCCCAACCCCGTCCTGTCCCCGTGGCTGCCCCAGCCCGCTCCCCATACCCGGGCGTTCATGGCCTTGTGGTTCTTCTTGGTTTTTTTTAGGAATTGCTTGAGGCTGCCTGATGACACGTACTCTGTGATGAAGATGACCTGCAGGGTGCGAGCTCAGGATTTCCACCAGCTGCGCGTTCGTCCCCATGCCCACCCCACCTGGCTGTGGCCTCTGCCTGCCCGGGGCCTCGCCCATAATCACCCTCGCGCAGGCCTCGGAGGTATCCAGCCAATACTTGTGCAACTTCACGATGTTGGGGTGGTCCACCAGCACCAGCTGCTCAAACACAGTCTGGATCTTCTCCTGGGGAGGGAGGGTGGTCTCTAGGTGGTCAGCAGGTGGTCACCCAGGCAGGATGAGGAGGGGGCAGCGGCCTCACCTCGTGCGCCGCGAAGGCCTTCCTGTCTCTGAAGTGGAGCTCGTTCCACACCACCTCTACCCCCTCCTCCGTGTCCATGGCTAGGAAGGTGCTCTGAAGCCCTGGCATGTTCCCCTGGTTTACCTGGGGAGTGAATAAGGGGTTATGTGTGCCCTGGTGTGTGTCAGGTTGCGGGTGAGGATTTGGTCCCTGTCTATACCTTTCCAGTGGGCCCAAGCGTGGACTGTAGGACCTGAGCCACTCTGCGGGAAGGTGGGGGCTTGGAGGGTAGCTGCCCCCAGGAGCCAACGGCTCCTATCCAAGGGCTGGGCTAAGGGGATTTGGAGCAGGTTTCAAGGGGTCGAGGGGGATCCCCAGGAACCTAGCGGCTGAGTCCAGAGGCATGGGGAGGTGGTCCTAGGAGGAGACTGGCCCTCAGGGAATCCCAGGGCGGGCGCCAGGCCAAAGGGGTCCAGGGGTGGCTGATTCGCTGGCCGCGAGGGACCGTGGAGAGGTTTCCAGGCGCCGCGCGCC